CCCTGCCAGTTGTCAGAAATAAAATATGCCTTAAATAGTTTGCTTTGTAGCTGTTTTTTCTGAGAGAAACAAATGAAATATATATTAAAAAATATTTAATATATATAATATATATTTATATATTTTTTATATATATAGATTGTCATACATTGTCATATATGATATATATAATATATTGCAACCTGGGCTAGTGGAAGGTGTCCCTGCCCATGGTAGGGGGTTAGAACAGATGATCTTGAAGGTCTCTTCCAACCCAAACCATTCTGTGATTCTGTGATTATTGTGTAGAAGGATACTACTGAAACCTTCTTTAATATAATGAAATATGTTGTGTAAAGGCCAGTTTTAGAAGATATTTTATATAAATACATATATTCCAAATGAAGTTTCAATATTTACTCCATTTTTTCCCCTCATTTTAAAAGCACTGCACATCCATTAATGTTTCATTACACAACTGCTTCATTTATTTAAAGAGGAAACAAATAATCTTGTAAGTATTATGACCTCAAACTACCTGTTTTGGTGGTGCTGAAGGAGGGTTCAAACCATCAGTGTCAAAAAGGATCCGATCCACGAAACAAAAGATGAAGGAAAATAAGAGCTGTAGATGACCTTGGAATATGGAAAGTCAGGGAGATAATGCAATTACTGGACTTCTGTACCTCTCATTTCATAAAATCCCAGAATCCCAGGATGGTTTGGGTTGGAAGGGACCTCAAGGATCATCCAGTGCCACCCCCTGCCATGGGCAGGGACACCTCCCACCAGCCCAGGTTGCTCCAAGCCCCATCCAGATTTTCCCTCCTGTTTTGGAGAAGGTTGTTTTTCTCCCCAAGGAAAGAATGCACCGGGCCCATGTGCATACTTGTCAAACATTTTATTTGTCATTCACACTAATTATGATACTGAATTTACAGAGGAAACTGTGGTACAAAGAAAGAAAGAAAGAAAGAAAGAAGGGAAAAAAAAGGAAGAAGGTCTTCATTAGGACTAACGCAGCAGTCCAGCTGCCCTGGGTGTAGTTGTAAGGAATTCTGCTGTGGTGCTGGACACAGCCATCCCTATGGACAGCAAGAGTCTCAACTGGCATCCACTCTATTCTCTTTTCCTATCTGCTTCCCCCAAAAAAACCAGCAGCCACTCCTTCCCTCTCTCCCTCCCCAGGAGGAAAAATCCCCCGTGATCAACTTTCCCCCTCCCAAAAAAAAGAAAAAAGCCAACTTCCACGAGCTGGTGGTTTCCCCTCCTGGAAATGTTCAGTTTGGAGGGAAAAGGGGGATGTTGGGGAACAGGGCAGCATCTGTTTTGTAAACAGAGCCAGAAAATGCTGGATAAATCCCCTTTGGGGCCTGTGCTGTGTCCTCACCACCTCACCCTGCAAGTTCAGCTTTTGTTTTAAGGGGAGACGGAACTGAAATGCCACAGATAACCCCCATATTTTCAGCACGTTCTTTTCTTCCCTCCCACAAAAAAAGTGAAGGATGGGGGATAGAGACCATGCTGTAACTGCTTACAAAAGTGAACAAAATGTAGTTCGTCCTGAAGCCAAAAAAAAATGAACTCATTGGGAAAGAAGTAAGTCTCACTACAGTGTTTAAGCAAACACAAAGGTAAGTTCATTAAAAACAGAGAAAAATGGGGAAAAAAAACAACAAAAAAAAAAAACAAGGCAGAGCAATTACAAGCACTAAATATTTTTGCTATGAAGCTTTGGAAATCTATTTACAGACATAAATACAAGTAACTCTGTCGATGCAACCCTTTTAGGACAAGGGGGAAAAATGCCGAGTGGTTGGGACTGACCAAGCCAAGGTTAACAAAAATAAAGATACCCCAAACGTCACGAGGCAGGAAAACAAGCGAGAGCAAAGGGTCCACTTCTCCCTGAATCTTCAAAACACACCACTGGGAAAGGTCACCCAGACAGCAGAGAAAGGAAGGTTTCAAGAGTGCAGGTGGTCGGGAACGCTTTGGTAGAGGCTGTGGGGGGTTTTGGGGGAGAACTGGTCTAATCCTACAAATTCAACACTTCATGGTGAGGATGCACTTTGCGTCCACCCATCCTCGGACTAAAGCTCCTGGAAGTGGGCAGGAACTCCTAAATGAGCATAAATGCTGTTGGAGAGGGAAATATTTGGCCTCAGAGCCGGTGAGAGCCGGGCCTTGTGTTTGGTTTGAAGCTGTTTGGCATGGCTGCATCCGCACAGGGAGCTGTGTCTTGTGAAAGGAGCACCCAAGCTGACAGCCAGGACTGCCCTGAGCTCTGTTCTGGGAGGGGAAGGCACCTAAAGCACTCACTGACTGCAACAGCAGGAGCACAGCACCTGTTTTTTTAATCCCATCCAGCTACCAGGGTGATAAAAATATAAATATATATATATTTTATATATATATATAAATATATACTTATATACTCTGGTTTGGAAATGTGAATGGGGGAAATGCTCTCTCCAAATGTCCTTCCTCTGCCTGCTAAGTGCTCTTAAGATACAAGAGGAACAATGTGAGGGCGTTTTCACAGCCTTGAAGATCTTTGCTGTCCTTGGTGGGTCGTGGGGTGGCTACAAAAATAAAGATTGGGGTAAACTGTGGTTTACACAAACACTGAAACACACAGTGATTGACCAGATTAATTGCCAGGGATAACGAGCTTGGTGCTTCCTCCCTCAAGGGGGTGATGCTTCGTGCTGTGCTTGACGTGGACAGAGAGGTTGGACTCCAAAATTCAGTTGCTTGAAATTACCACAGGGGAGAGGGTGGGAAATCCCAGGAAAGTGTCAGCAAGACATGGGATAAAGTGTGGTGAGCAGCTCTGGAGTTCCTCACCCCCTGCACACCAGGGAGAGCAAAACTGAGCTTCAACTTCAGGACAAGTGGATGGGGAGACGTAAGAATTGTTCAGCGTAAGGTCTGATCTCCAGGCTGTGAGATGCCCAGCTCTTGGGTTCTTGGGAATCCCTGATCTTTGAGTTTCAAAAGTGGGTGGTTTGAAATAACTGGTGGCTAAAAGGGCCAAAGGGCTTCAGCAGAAAGGAGGTTGTGGTGACCCACAGGCCTGGGAGTGTGGTGACCATTAACCTCCCTTTGGTGACCACAACAACCTCCTTGGGTGACCACAACAACCTCCCTTGGGTGACCACAACCACCTCACTTGGGTGACCAAAACAACCTCCCTTCTGCCACTGAGATGAACTCAAAGAATCCTGGAATGGGTTGGTTTGGGAGGGCTTTTAAAGATGATCCAGTGCCACCCCTGCCATGGGCAGGGACACCTTCCACCAGCCCAGGTTGCTCCAAGCCCCGTCCAGCCTGGCCTTGGACACTTCCAGGGATCCAGGGGCACCCACAGCTTCTCTGGGCAACCTGTGCCAGGGCCTGCCCACCCTCCCAGCCAGGAATTCCTTCCTAATATCCCATCTAACCCTGTTCTCCTCCAGCTTAAGGCCATTCCCCTCATCCTGTCACTCCTTGCCCTCGTGGGAAGTCCCTCTCCAGGTCTCCTGGCCATGGCAGCCCTTCCCTCCATGCTGAGGCCTCTGGCTCCTCCGAGCTCCTCTCCCTCCCCTCTGGGTTCTCCTCCCAGCACTTGGGTGGTCCAGTCACAAGGCAGATGTGGGAGCTGTAATAAATGAAGATTTTAATTGCACAGCCACAGAGAACATGTGAGATGGATTCTCCACCAAGAGCTGCTGTACTGGAGCAGTGTTCTGATATAATTTTGATGTTTCCTGACTTTTTTTTTTTTTGGTTCAGAGCAAACTCTGGGAAAGTATAAAGAATATCCCAAGGCCATGGGTGTATTTGATCAGAAACAATTTGGACATTTGCTGGGACCTCTTGAAACACTCCCTCTTTTCTGCACAAAAAAAGAGAAAAATGACCTTATTGACAAGGTAAAGTCTTCGATTTGTAACTTTTCAACACCAAAGTGCTACTGCATCTGATTCAAACAAAGAAGCAAAATCATATACATATATAAAAAAGAAAAAAAAAGAAAAAAAGAGAAAACTTGAAAAACAAATGGTTTTAAATAAATCCAGCTGTTTTGCTGCCTGCAGCCAAGGATCTTTTTAATTTGAATCCTTTTAACTTTTTTTTTATTATTATTATTACTATTTTTTTTATTTTTTTACAACATCAAACACTGATCTGCAAAGTCCTGCTTTCAAATACTCTCTGAGTTGACCTGCAATTGTTTCACTCGCTTAAGAGGTACGTTAAATAATAATCAGCTCGTTTGGGACGCACAGGCTGCTCAGAGCTCCATCCAGCTCGGCCTTGGACGCTCCCAAAGATGGGGCAGCCACAAATTCTCTGGGCAACCTGTGCCAGGGCCTCCCCACCCTCAAATTTCCATGTTGGCTTCACTTCTGAAGGGCCAGGAGGCCACCACTGGCACTGTCAGGAAGGCCAGGCAAGCCCGAGAGCAGACTGGGGCCGTATGGGCGGGTATTTAATTAGGGAATATTAAATCTGCCTTATGGAATATCTACATCCTGATCCTGAGGGTCACCGCTGGCGACGAAGGAAAAGCGTGGGAGCGATAAGGAGAGATGACTCCACTGACATTCCCAGGGATTTTGGTGCCTGCCAGCGGGAATTGGGCACCTCAGTGCCTTTGGGAACCTGAGCCCAGCGAGCTGAGGAAGGTGAGAGTGAGATAATTGTAAACAACATTTCTAGGTAATTAAGAGGTCACTTTTACCCATCGTTATCCAGCCTTTTTCATCGTGATAAATTTGACTTTGGCTGCTACCAAAAAAAGGCAATTGCTGATATTTTTTTTTAATATAGGCATATTTAAATAATAATAGTATCAACAAATAAGAAAAGTCTAAATATCAAGCATAAATATCAATGAACTCATCAAAGAAGTACAGTAGTTGAAAATGACCCAAGGCTGTAGCCATTGTGTTAAAAAAAAAAACAAAAAAAACCAAAAAAAAAAAGAAATCCAAGAGATAAAAAGTTAAATTAACTCATTGAAAAAGGGGCTGATTCTTTCAGCTGACAAAGCAAGAAAGAAGTGAGCGTGGTTAAAACAAAACAAAACAAAAAAAAAAGAGCAAAATCTTTTGTTTTTTGCAATTTATAAGGTGCCAAGAGAAATTAGATGCAAAGCAGGATGAGCTGCATCCTAAAAAAAAAAAAAAACCAAAAAAACAAAACCAAAAAGAAAACAAACCTCAAACAAAACCAAAACAAAACCCCAAAAAAGCAAAACCCCAGCCATAAAAAAATTCCGTATTCTTCGGAATATACAACGTGGTTTAAAAAAAAAAAAACCAACAAAACAAAGCAAAGAGAGAATGAATCCAACATATAAAAACCTCTCATTCACAGCATTGCTAAAACAGGAGCGTTCACAGTTTCCCTCTGGGAATCTTCCTATACTTCCTTACAGCTAAAACGTCCATAAGATGCAGTAAACTCAACTATGGGTTTGTTTTTGGTTTTTTTTTTTTTTTTTTTTGGTTGGGTGTTATTTTTTTGTTTTGTTTTGTTTTATTGGTTTTTTGTTTTTTTTTCCTTTTAAGGTTTTTTTTAAGTCTTAAAAATAGAAGTGAACCGAAAAACTCTCTCTTTTTTTAAGAGGCTCTGGAGACCTTCATAAGCCCAAGGAAGCCACAAGGCCTGGAGACAAACCTTCCTAACCCGCCCTCGCTACCTCTGGACCACCAGCTCGGGCGTCCTCCTTCCCAGAATCTCAGCCCTCCGTGAGGGGAGGATGTTCTGGTGCTCCTCCAGGGCCTGGCTGGGCTGTGCCACAGCTCCTGGAGGGTTTTGCTCCTCAAACTGCTGGCGGGCGGCACTGGGGATGCGCGGCAGTCCTGCCCGGGGATGGGGGAGCTCCTCGCCATCAGTAGGGCCTCCAGACGGCCTCCTCCAGCCGCGCCGTGCTGGCCATGTTGGTGGGGGAGTTGCTGTGGCTGCCCTCGGCCTCCACCACGTCGCTCTGGTTGGGCAGGTTGGGGTTGAGCAGCGTGGAGCCCGTGGAGGCGTTGGTGCAGGGCGGGTGGATGCGCGGCGGGGAGCGCTCGCCGCCGGAGATCATGGAGAACTGGTAAGAGCCGGCGGAGGTGCCGTAGTACAGGTGGTAGGAGGGGGAGCCGGCCTGGAAGGGGCCGCCCTGCGCCTGCGAGGAGCCGGGGTAGGGCGGCGGGAGGTACGTGTGGTATCTGGTGGCCGTGGACATGGCCGACATGCCGATGCCGATGCCCGAGCTGACCGGGGTGGGCGTGTAGGTGAAGGCCCCCGGGTAGTGCATCCGTGGGTCCGAGATGGACGGCAGCGCCGGGAAGGAGCGGTCGATGCCCACCCGGGGGTCGCTGAAGGCGGTCAGGTCCGAAGCACCTGGGCGGGGAGGGAGAGCCAGACAGGTGAGTTGGTAAAGGGTCCCAGAATCCCGGGATCCCTGAGGTTGGAAAAGCCCGGCAGGATCGTCTAATCCACCCCGTGCCCCATCCCCACCCTGTTCCCCATCCCAGAGCACGGCCAGGCCTTCTTTGGACACCTCCAAACCTCCCTGGGCAGCCCCTGCCAAGGCCTGACCACCCTTGCCAGCAACAAATTCCTCCTCCTGGCCAACCTGAACCTCCCCTGTCACATCATGAGACTATGTCCTCTCATTCACAGGACAGTCAAATCCTGCTCCACTTTGTCTGACACGCTTGGAATCACGTCCAGTCCCTTCAAGTTTCCCCCTGGTGTGCACAGATTAAACAAGCAGAGCAGATAATGACCCCTTTGGGAAGGATCTCCATCGTGACTCAGCTCAATGGAAGGTGTCAGTCCCTAGAGCTGGCAGCTCTGCACGATTAAAATAACAGCAATAACAATAATAATAACAATAATTGTGAGAAAATCTTTCCAGAAGACGAGTTCTTCTGTCAGACAAGGCGTGGAGCGTGCAGAGGAGGAGCCATGTGCTGAAGGCAACGCTCGTGAGGAGAAGCAGAGGGAAAACCAAGCTCTTGGCTCTCACCACTCCGAGCTCTGAAAGCTCATCAGCGACACGTCAACCCGCTGATGAGTTTCTGTAAATTCCTTAGGAAAGCTCTTCTGCTTCCTTTTTGAGTTTGCCCTCCGTTTTTTAACGAAAGATTAATGGGAAAACATTTCCTTTCCCTGGACGCCGGCACATGGCGTTGGAACAGCAGGAGCTTCGGAGCAGCCAAGGCTAAAGGTGGCATCTGGAGACCTGCCAGGCTTTAAATGACTCTTCCACACCTCATTCCTGAGAAAGAAATCAAACTTCCTACCTGGACACACCACTTTGCAGATGAGGGTTTGTTCTGCCCTGGCAAAAAGCAGAATAATGAGACTGAATGCCAAGATATTTCAAATACATCCCAGGTTGGGTCTTTCTCTTTGGAGGTCTTTGGGATGGGAGGGCCCAAAAAACTCCTCCAATTTGCTCTTTGTTCTGACAAGGAGAAGCTGCTTAGACAGATACCAGGTGCGTGTGACAGTCAAGAACAGGGAAAATCTTGTGGCAGACTTTTCTAGGAACACTGGAGGGCATTTAATGCAGAAGCAGCATTTTGGAAGCGCTGTGAGAAACACCCAAAGGATGTGTAAAGATGAGCTTTGTAGGGGGCCTCCTGTGCCATGAGCTCTGGGATGGCCCTGCTGTATTTTCAGCTGTTTCTAGGATGCAATTAACACCCAGACCCAACAAACAATTTACTTTTGGTGTGCATCCTCCCCATGAGTCTTTCAAAGCAGGCTCCATACAACAACAAAACAGGCTGGAGCACGTTCAAGTGGCTCTCTCTGATCTCAGAAGAAGCCCTGAGAATTCAAACCAGAGCAAGATGTGCAGCCAAAGGAGGGATTTCTGCAAAAGCTGTATGCAAATTGGAATTTTATGGCTCTCACTGGTTCTAAGAAAACTCCTGCTGTTGCACACGCACAGATTGGGTCAATATGTGAGGGTTTGAGGCAGCACATGGGCAGTTGGGATGCTGGAACCAGGGGATGGCTTTCCCTTCCAGGTTTTCTCTGCCGGCTTGTAAAGCTCTGCAGCACAATTTGATGGAGATGTAACCTGACAATCCAACATGCAACACTTAAAATGTCAACCCCCCCATCCTGCAGTCAGTGTGTCCACCCATAACCTGCTGTGCTCCGGCCTAAATTTAAAAGGAGGGAGGGAAACAGAACTGGAATATCTGTGGCATTCATTTCTTGGCAGAAAGGAGAGTTCTTCAGCAATCCAAACCTTTTTTTTTTTTTTATAGCTCCATCCATCTTCAAAGTGCTGCTTTCTCCTCTTTTCTCTTCCTTTTTGACAGTGATATGTTGAGCCCCAAACCCAGGAGCAACCTGGGCTAGTGGAAGGTGTCCCTGCCCGTGGCAGGGGGTTGGAACTGGATGATCTTTAAGGTCAAAGAGCCAAGCCAGTCTGTGATTCAGGTTGGCCATGAGGAGGAATTTGTTGCTGGAAAGGGTGGTCCAGGGGCTGCCCAGGGAGGTTTGGAGTGCCCAGCCCTGGAGGTGTCCAAGGCAGGCCTGGCCGTGGCACTCAGTGCTCTGGGCTGGGGGACAAGGTGGGGATGGGGCACAGGGGGATCCATGGGCTGGGAGGGCTTTTCCAACCCCAATAATTCTGCAGTTGACTGATTGAGGGGGTGATTAATTCATCAAAACGCAATTCATTTACCCCAAAGGTGACTCATTTACTAAAATTCTCCCTTTCTTTACCCTTTTCACACCCCCCCTCAGACCCTGGGGTGGTTTCGCTGCCAGGAGCCCCCCGCGGGCACCTCGGGCGGGCTGTGGTGTCACCGGGGACAGCACTGGCAGAGCCCCCTCCCTGGGGGGGCTGTGGGGACCCTCCCCGTGGCGTGGGGGAAGCGGGGCCGGGGGTACTCACTGGAGAGGCGGCTGGAGAGCTCGGCGGTGAGCGAGGACATGCCGCCCGCCCTGCCCGGGGAGATCGGCGTGGCCGGGTGCACCGAGGGCGCGGCGATGGAGCCCAGGTACTGGTAGGACTGGTCGTAGGACCACGGCGGGGACGGCTGCACCTGCCTCGTGTCTGCAACCAAAAACAGACCTATAGGCCGTTGTTGGGAACGGCAAAAGTTGGCAAGCAAAGCTCTCAGAGCCCAGAGAACGCCCCCGGTGATCGCGACACGGTGAGGTCACCCCCACCCTCTGCCAGGAGACCTGAGAGTGAAGGGCTTTCTAAAATATTATCTCTGAATTTTGATCATTGGAATTTTTTTTTTCTTTCTATTTTTGTTTTGTTTTGTTCGCTGTTTCACGTTAATGGCGGGAAAGGAAACAGCTCAGGGGGAAAACAGGTTAGGATTTCCAAGGGGAAAAGCTGCTCCTCGTGAGGATTTGGGGCTGCGGGCTCGCAGCCCTTTCAGCCAAAAAAAGGTGTCCTGCAGCGCAGCAAGGAGACAGAACTGCTGAACTGGGGGTGTTCCTCTGCCAGGGTGTAAATAGAGAGAGAAAAACTTGATGAAATTCTGTCTGTGTGTGAGAGAAAGAGGTGGGGAGCAACGCCGGTGTCCTGCAAGAAGGCAGATCGAGTGGGTGAACAGGAGTGAGGGATAGGAATTCCTCAGCCTGTGGAAAATCCTGGGCTTTAGGAAAGGAACAGGTATTTTGCACATCTGCTTTGCACACCCTGAAGTACAGAAATAAATTCAGAGTGGTGGGTACAGATGCAGGAACACACATTTTAGACACACAAAGCCTTACACAAAATCTGTGGCACTGCTGAGCTGAAAATCGTGGAATCATGGAATGGTTTGGGTGGGATGGGACATTAAAGATCATCTATTTTCACCCCCTGCCATGGGCTGGGACACCTTCCACCAGCACAGGTTGCTCCAAGCCCCGTCCAGCCTGGCCTTGGACACTTCCAGGGATCCAGGGGCAGCCACAGCTTCTCTGCCCATCCTGTGCCAGGGCCTGCCCACCCTCCCAGCCAGCAATTCCTTCCCAATATCCCATCTAACCCTGTTCTCCATCAATCTGAAGCCATTCCCTCTTATCCTATCACTGCAATTCCTGATGTGAAAAACCACCAATCCTTTATTTTGTAGCTTGGTTGAGGTTTGAACTCAGAGATTCACCACAGGGACTTTGCCCAAACCAGTTGCATCGATGCAAACCCAACTCTTTCCTGCTTATTTCCTCTTTGCAATTCCTGGTGGTTTTCAGTGCATGGAAATGTTTAATTTTTGTATAAATCAAAGGAATCAGAGAGATTCCTCCCTCCCCCTCCTTTACCTACCCAGATTTTTTTTTTTAACCTATTTTTAGTAAATTCTTTTCTGTTTTCTTCAGCTTTAAGAGCTGCAGCTCCATCCAGATAATTGCCTTTCTTGAAAAAAGCAAACGTTGGATGAAACTGTGCTCAGATAAAACTGATATCAGCGTGGAAGGGAAACTTCCCAAGTCTGAGATGAGGACTTTGATCTCCCATCAGAGAGCCCATCTGGAAAAAATTATTTTGTTGTTCTTGATGGAGAGGAGTTTTACATTTTGTTTGCTTTGTCTGTTTACAAGGGGAAGATTTATGCAAAACTCCAAGGTTTTAAAAAATAACCAGGGAAGTTGCAGATTGAACCCCAGTCAAGATATTTTTTTTTTTTGCTGAGTAGCATATTCAAATTCAGAAATTATTTATATTTAATTATTTCTTTTTCAGACAGGCTTCCTTAAAAATAAAATCAGTTGGCTCGTGCTGGTTTAAAAGCAACATCCAACTGCATGGAATGGACTCCAGTAGGAACAAAAAGGCCCAGCACAAAGCCTGGGATGTTCTGAGCTGCAGCATCACCTGATTGTTAATGTATGGTCAGGGTTTATTAAAGATCACAGGCAGAGAGAAGAGGGAATTCACTCTCCAGAGGTGGCATTAGGGTAAATACCACAAAGCATCCACAGAGTGAGCCTTGTAATGGTGTGACAGCACAAGAGACGTGGATTTGTCCTGTGCCTTGCCCAGCCCTCATGGGATCCTGGTCCATAAACCAGCTCCAAGGGCAATAAATGCACAAACAACTGTAAGAAGGTGCAGAAAAAGACACAGTAACTGCCACAGAGGAAGCAAGACCTTGTCACACATTTACCAGACACTGAAAAGACTCCACTGAAATCTGGTTTCTTTCTTTTAGCATCACAGAATCCCAGGATGAGTGAGGTTGGAAGGGCCCACAGAGGGTCATCTGCTCCAGCAGGGCCAGCCCAGAGCACAGGGCTCAGGATGGGGCTGGGATATCCCCAGGGAGGAGATTCCACCCCCTCTGGACAATCTGCTCAGGGCTGGGTCACTGCCCAGCCAAGAAGTTCTTCCTCCTGTGCAGGTGGAACTCGCTGGGCATCAGTTCCTGCCCCTTCCTCTTGTGCCATTGCTGGGCCCCCCGGAGCAGAGCCTGGTGTAAAAACCAGGTAACAGACCCTGAACATGCCCAGGAACATCCAGGAAGAGCCTCTAACTGAGATACCCAACCAGCCTCCTCCATTTGCTGTGATTATTGACCTCTGGGCTACTTGAAGCAGTGACAGCCCGCCACAGAGACCCCCTTTATTAATCTCCTCATCCCATTAAGTCTTTCTTAAGTGAAGGTTCAAAGTACCAATCAATTTTCCATCTCGGTACCTGTGTATTCCCCATCCCTGTGTCTGCTCTCAAGGATTCACCTCTTGGCATCAGGCTGGTTAACGAGTTGCAATCCATGCAGGGATGTTAATACAGTGCATTCTATTGTATGCACACATGGGAGCAGGTTGTGCTGACCAACCCCAGGCATCACCCTCGCAGTTTTTTAATAATAAGTGGAGGGAAAAAGTATCCCTGGAATAGCATTTTTATGGAGTGATTTCAGTATCATGAGGCACACTCAGCTCAGATCTGGACTTGGGGGGCAGGGGGAGCCTCAAGCAGTGTTTTATTCCTGGGATATCTGCTTTCCTTCAGCTTTCAGGATACCCAAAATTAAACGGGAATGGGTTTGAATTGGACACAGGAGGAGGCTGCACAAAAAAAAAAAATCAACGAGCTCTTTCCTGCTTTCCCGGTAGGGAGGAGCAAAGCTCAGGAGCCGGGGGCTTGGCCTGGGAAAACGCGCGTGTCCTTCCACGTGGCTGGAGGATCGTTTGGTGGAAACGAGGTGCAAATAAACGGGAGCTGCTTCCCAGCTCGGAATGTCCCTGATTTGCCGGGAGAGCTACTTCAACAAAGGGAAGGAACAGGGCTTTGGGTCCACACCGTTCTAAAGCCAAACAGGATCCCCCCAAAATCACCGACGAGAGGATCAAACCGGCGCGAAACCGAGGGAGCTGCTCCGCTTGGTGCCCGATGCTCCCGGCGCTTCTCCCATTAGCGGCTGCTTCCCGTCTCTGCTTTTTTTTACGGTGTGAGAAAACGTCTTTTAAAACCCCATGAAAACAGTCATTAATCGCTCCAGGCCCCTCCGGGGCGAGAGTTATGGTGCAATAATTCACACCTCTCCGTGCAGTCGCGGGCTCTCCCGGCCTCTCTCGCCTCCCTCCTCAACAACCCATTAAGCACAAAGGGCTGAACCTCCTTCTCGTGCCCCGTCATGTTTTATCGCCCCGAAAAAACTCGCGTTCTCCTCGCGCTGAGCGGCTCTAATTAAGGCGCACGAACGTTGCGTAATTAATGGTTTAACGAAACGCGTTTTGGGGGGAGGGGAGACCGGTCAGGGAAAATAACAGGAGCCTTGCTGGGTTGCCCCTGTGTTTGACTGTTTTCCAGCTGTTTTTCCGCACGGATGACCCGCCGTGGCGATCCCGGGTGCCCCCTGTGTTTGGTTCTTCTCCAGCTGTTTATCCAGAGGCGATTCCCGCAGGGATGGTCCCCGGGGGGTGGCGGTCCCGGTGTGCCCCCCGTGTTTGGCTGTTTTCCAGCGGTGATTCCCACTGGGACGACTCGCGGTGGCGGTCCCGGGTGCCCCCTGTGTGTCGCCGTTTTCCAGCTGTTTTTCCAGCGGTGATTCCCGCAGGGATGGCCGGGGGCGGTCCCGGCTGCAGTTGCGCGGCGCTGCCGCGGGGTGGCGATGCCGCTCCGGCAAAGCGACGGCGCCGCGTCCCCCATCCCCCGAACCTCCCCCGGCCTCGGGACCCCCCAAAACCCCGAAATCGCCCTGAAAATGAGCGATCCCGGAGCAACCACGGCGCTATGAGAACAGCTCTGAGTCAACAGTGCGTCGGAGGAGGCAGCTGTGGGTAACCAAGAGCAGGGATGCCCAGGAGGGATCATGGAATCCTGGTGATATCCTGAGATGGAAGGGACCCCCCAGGATCATCCAGTGCCACCCCTGGCCCTGCCCAGGACACCCCAACACTCCCCCCTGTCCCTCAGAGCGTTGCCCAAACGCTCCTGGAGCTCTGGCAGCCTTGGGGCCGTGCCCACTGCCCTGGGGAGCCTGGGCAGTGCCAACCACCCTCTGGGGGAAGAACCTTGTGCTGAGCTCCAAGCTGAGCCTGCCCTGGCACAGCTCCAGCCCTTCCCTGGGTGCTGTCCCTGTCCCAGCCAGCAGAGGTGGGAGCTGCCCCTCGGGAGGAGCTGCAGCCCCCGCTGAGCTCTGCCCTCCTCTGCTCCAGCTGCACCAGCCCAGTGCCCTCAGCTGCTCCTCATGGCCCCTCCAGGCCCTTCCCCAGCCCCGTAGCCCTCCTACACAGCCCGGTGGATCCGCCCAGGCCTGAAGACACCCTTGCTCAGCAGGACCAGCACACTTAAGGAGGGCAAACAAACACCTGCCAGGCACAGGAGCTGTGTCAGTGGGACACAGGGCACATTTTGGCTCCCAGAGTTGTTATTGACAGCCGAGGACAGAAAGAAGAGCAACCTGATCTAGTGAATGGCATCCCTGCCCGTGGCGGGGGAGGAGATGGATGATCTTTAAGGTCCTTTCCAACCCAACCCATTCTGGGATTCTGTGAGCAGGACAGGTGTGTTGTTTCATGCTTTAAAGTATGTGCCTCCTCCTCCAAAAAAAGGAAAAAACACATAGGAATAGCATTCCAGGACTTCATTATGTGCCAGTGCTCAGG